TTCGGTTCCTGGTACCGGAGAAAAACCAAAAAAAAAAAAAAAAAAAAAAAGATAAAATGTAAGAAGATATGAGCTTGCACCCCAAACATACTGTGAAAAACATGTACATGATTACTTAAAACCATAGTCCAGTACACGTGAAATTTCATACTCACTTCATAAGCAACAAGATTAATGAGGTAGCTCCCAATGCAGTAAAAAAAGCCTCCAAGAATTGCACACTTATGTAAAAGTAATGTTTCTTTTTACAGTGATTATCTCTCGGGCATTCACCCAAACGAGCAGAGTAATTTGTGCTCTTGTAACCGGAAATTTCAAGACAACTACAGTTGTAGAACATCTAGAAAACAGTGATTGAAATATTACAAAATACATTTAGAAAATATGACAGTGCTCTAAATACATTCCTCCACTGAAAAAAGTGTCATCCATTGAAATTAAGATATTTACAGTTTTAAAAATTTCTAAAAATATAGTTTCTTCACAGTTGAAAGGTAAAATAGCTTCCTGGAGTCCTTTCTAGATAAGAAAATATAATTTACTATTAACATTAAATTCATTTCTAGTTTAAAAGATAGGAAATAATTGAAAAAAATTAGTGTTTGAAACTGTGCAAATTTTCCCACTCATAAATTATTTTTAGTACCTCTATTCCACTCGCTTTTACTTTTTATAATACCCTTACCTAATCTACTTAACAGTCTGTACCAAGTACCAGACATATGTCCTGTGAAAAAATTACCCAGAGAATTCAGCAACTCCACACTTAGGAAGGGGCCAAAAATCTGCAAGTAGAGCTACTCACAGAGTAGGAAGGAGTCTAGGAAAAATGGAGCCAGGCAGGTGTGCTGGAATTTTATTTTGGAAAGCAGAAATAACACCCAAGTGCATAATGACAAATACAAGAGATGCTGTTATTATCAGTGAAATTCAACACAACTGTATATCTTTAACAACAAAACCAAACATGAAAACTTAAGAACACTTAATTTTAAAGGGTTAATCTGGCAGATAGCTTACATAGATCAGTATCTTTAATAAATTCTTTTCTAATTTCTATTACTGGAGGAAGAATTGAAGAATTTGAATCTGTATTTGTATGATTCTATGAAGTTGTACTTCTAAACATTTTCTCACAATTAGGAATAACATGGAGGAATGCTTTACTGAAGAAACATATTGGCCAATAAACCATATACTGATACAAAAAATCTTCATTGCAGAAGACAGGGTTTATTACTAAGAATTTCATAAACAACTGTGCAATCGATGCAAATTATTTAGAAGGTGATGTGTGCACGGTACATAGAACTCTCTTGAGGATTCTAATATCGTGTCTCTCCCAGGTCTTCATCATTGAGAAAAGAACCATGGATTAAATGGGGGCAAAATAATCATGAATTTAATGTGTGGACTTTGAAGGGCAGTCTTTATGTCATGATTGTGCATTGTACTGGGCCACTTTCAGAGAATGTAGGATGTTTTGTCCTTCAAAAGGCACTATGTTTTCCAAAGTACAATGGGCAGAATTATACACAAGCGGATGATGAAAAATGCTTGAACATCAAGCACAGAAGTGGGTAGCTGACAGTAATGATCATAGTTGGTAATATTTCTCCTCTTGATAGTATAAAAAGGACCAGGAAATTGGTACCCACATTTACGAGACTTTGAGTAGAAAGAAGCATCTGAAATACTAGAAATGACCAATGATTGGGAGTTACCCAGCATACTATGGGAACACATTGCTCACATGGAAAGGAATGTTTTGAGTAAAGAAAAAATGGCATTTTTATGGGGTGTATTAGCAAGACATGAGCAAGATACTACATTATGCTAGGAAGGAGAAATGCCAGCTTTGGGGAAATCAGAATTGGCAGACACGAATTGGGCAGTTACGTGACCATGAAGACTTGATTATCTCTTGGAAAGTCAGAAAGATGCTGAGCCTAGAGAGAAGCTCATCTGAACCTATATTCAAAATTATATATAGATTGTTTTGTGTACACATTTCTATATAGATTGTTGCCCTAGTGAGGCAGGTAGTGCTGACCATGGACTGACTGAGGGCTTTCCTCTATCTTCTGAATGGCAAAATAATTCCAGTCCAATGAAAATCATAGGTTTAGTCAAATTAGATACTTTCTAAGTCCTTTAAGTGTATTCACATTACAAAATGTTGCATTCTTATAATTTTAATGAAACAATAATGATGTCATCTCAAATTAGAATTCAAGTGACAGTAAAACCTGATTGTCATCTAAGTAGGATTTAATATGAAGCTTTGAGTATACAATATTACAGCTATCACAATGACAGAAAATATTGGACTCTTTTACTTTTTTATCATTTTACTGGGCAAATTAATTATAGACCAATTTGATAAGGGATTGTTAAATGTAATGTGTGATCTTGATTATGGAGGGGAGAGAAAGTAACACTATTACTTACAGTAGGGTTTTCATGGCCACCTCTAGATGTGCATCCTGCCAGACAAGGTGATAGGTAAGTGACTCCATTGTCCCCACAGACTGGTTCCCACACACTTTCATCACAATTGCAGTCTGAGTTGCAATAAGACAGTGGTACGTTTGCCTGAGAGGTCCCAGGATTAATTCTGGAAATACACGAAAAGGCATATATTAAAGAAAGAAAGAGAAAGACAAATGATTCTGAAGTAGTTCTGCAAATATATGACAGATATATCAAAAATAAAGAAGAAAGATGTGAGAGGAAGAGAAGTCAGGCTGTAGGTAGAGAAGAATTATGGAAGAAGGGTGAGGAAAAAAGAGAAAACGAGAAGAGAAAATAGACAGTTTTCTTTAAATTAGAAAATTTTAATATACTGTTGTCATTTCGTAAAGTATTTTATGTTTATTCACTTCTCACCTTCCATCTTTATCATAACATGACTTAGGATCTAGAAAAAGTAAAATTTATAACAGGAAACTAGGGAACGTGTACATCTTAGACAAGAGATCTTAGTAATTCAACTAGGAAATTCACAATATTTAAGTCATTCCATTTTTCTGGCAATCACGTTTGCTTAAATTCAGTAGTGATAGCAGACTGACATTCCTCCAAGCTTACTGTAAAGTCATGTGAATCTGTGAATGTTATTTAATTAGGTTGAATTTAAAAATCTATATTTTACTTACATAAGAGAAGAATTCAACATGATCAAAGCAGAATCTCTAAGAACCAGTTTTGAAAAACCAAGAATAAACATCAGTTGAGAAAGACAAGAAAAACTCTACACACTTTAAAAATGAAATTACCTATAGGTAAATGGTCACAACTAGAGACCATATTCATAAGTGAAATAAATCAAACATACATGTGCAAGCACCGCATTGTTTCTCTAGTGTAAAGCCTGAAAGAGTTAATTTAAATTAGGAGATATGATAGACATTGTGAACTGATAGGAAAGCACTCAAAGGTAAAGGGTAACTGGGATATGGGAAAAGAGAAGGGAA